GGCTCCTGAAGCAAGTCAGTTGCTGGAATTTTCTGGTTCCATGGAACAAGTGGTGGTCTGCTTCCAGTAGACGCTTCTCACGGGCAACCACTAACCTTGGCAAAGCGAATGCTGAGGAACAATTTGGCAGGCTTTAATGAAAGAAAGTCTTGAGTTTTCGACGTCGTTTAACCTAGAACTAGCGCAATGTAGTCCATCGGACGCTTGGTGGGTTTATTCCTTTGCGGCATCAAAAAACCAAACTGTGAATTTAACGAAGAAAATTCATAAGCAGTACATCTATCAAAATTTTTTCGATCGTTCCTGTAATCTTTTTTCGCCTGAGTTACCGCGACCTGTGACTTAGGTCTACGATTTAAATCTTTCGTAATATCCTGCGTCTGAGAGTACGTTCTTCAGTTTGAAAAGAAACGTTTGAATGAGACACATTAATGTTTGGTGTTGTAGTCAACTAGTTTATTTGTTTCAGTTAAAAAGGCCTCGGAAGTATTTCACTTTACGACTCAGGAGTACGCAAAAGCCTAATGACTTATTCACACTCGAGTCAATTGCGCTGGGGAATTTTGCCGCTACCGTTTTGATTTAAAATGAATATGTTAAACAAAATCAAATTTATTTCGCATTTTTTCCTCTCGTGGGAGTACACTAAGTAGTGTTATGATGTAATCAATTTCTATTTTTGCTATTTTGGAAAAAAAAGTGGATTATCACGTGGGTTATAGGCTCATGAAATGTTTATATGGTTGAGTTTTTAGTGATCTGTTAACATCCAATCGAATCAGTTCGTTCAAATGAGCTATTTGTAATTGCTTGTTAAACCGGTTTCTTCTGCACATTTCTTCCAGTATAAACATTTAGGAAATCACAAACTGATATTAGTACAGTGAGTCATTAAGGTGATTTCCTTTCATCTCAATAAAGTTTTTTTCTTGCTGTTTTTGTTGCTAGTTTCTGCCATTTGGTTTAGGTATAGCATGAAGATTGACTTACTATATTTTATTATGCAACAATTCACTATCTTTTTTGTTTAAGCCGTCTGCCATAAATTCCAGTACTTTTTTTTGTTCGCATATGATTTTAAAGGATTGCTGCATTATATGATCAAATGGCTGCTGGTTAAAGGTTGAGTGAAATGCCGTTGAATGAGAAATGGATTTTAGGCAGTTCAGGTTTACATTTTTTCTAATAACAGTTGGTAGTCTAGACTAGGACTTTGAGTTAAAGCAGATTCTCTCTTTCTTCTTTAGTATTACTTTGCATTCATTTCTCCAAGTTATTCACTTTTGCCTTCTTACTCATAACCGCACAGGAGTGGTTGCCAATTGAGATGTCATTTTTAGGTTCAAATTTTAGTGGTATATCCTTCTTTTTTCAAATTTTTATCATTGTTCCTCTTAATTTTTCTCGTCTTATATATCATCAGGAACTTTTGGTAATTTTATTGATTGCGAAAGTGAAAAAAACTTCGTGATCACAACTAAAGGTTTTGAAGTTCCTTCCTTTTTTTTTTGAAACCTTGCAGGGAACATTGTAATAAACGCATTGTCTAATTTTGTTTTCAAATATCCTAAGGGTGGGAGGTGACTGGAGGAGTTAGAATTTATTCAGGTTGCGATAGTTCGGCATTGTCCGCTGGTAATTTGCTAAGGTAATTATCCAGCAGGAAGTTCCGAATCTACTTTTGGAATAAGTCTTCAACGATTTGAGATTAGTGGGTGGAGAAAAATAATTGTAAGTTACTGATGCCAAGCTGAAGAAGTACTTAGAGCTCAACAGACATACTTTAGTATTGCGCCATTCAATTAAAGCCACCAAGATATAATTAGACCGTATGGCGACTGCTTGCAGAAATGTGATAAAATGATATTTTTGATCAACCTAAAAGTCTGTCATTAATTAAGTGGGCTTGCAAGAACAGTGCTCTGTAATATTTAGCTGCTCACAAACGCTTTAAAATGAAAATTATTAATATAGTTGTTTGCGCATGCTGTTGGTTCAATGTTGCTGGTTTCTGTTAATTCATGCCAACATTAATTGTAGCTATTATGTCACTTGGCTCTCTTTGAGAAAAAGAAGCGTTATTTGATCATTTTGAAACGTCTATTAATTGCTAGAAAGATAGGGAATTATGGGGTGGTGGTGAATATTTAGTACAGGTGCTGACAAAAACTAAAATTTAAAGCACTTATTACACCTATACTCTGATTAAATTAATCTGTTGGTGAGAAACGATAAGAAAAAAGCAAAGTTGCGGATTGATGTTTGATAGATCGCTGAAAAAGGTTAAAGATCTAAAGTTGCAGTTAACAACTGTTGTATACAGATTTCTGAAAGGTCGCTGTTCACAGAAAAAAGCTTCACTGTCTGATCATAAAAGTAGTCAGCCCTTGTACTTCAGTATATCTCCGCAACGCCTTTGTCGAAAGAAAAATGCGTCCTACCTTGCCATGAAAGTACCACTATGCATTAGGCTGTAAGTTTACTTTAAGGAAGGAAAGGAGCATTCCTAAAGGTTTAGCAATATTTACACCATAAAAATTTTATTATGAATGGTTACGCTTTTATGCTTGCAGCCTCTCTGGAAAAGTAAGTTATAGAATTGTTACGCTGATTAATCTGGAAGCTTTGTTTGACTATGATAGGCAAGAGGAATGAACAGTGTACATTCGGGGAGAATCATTTTT